GTTTCCGCGGAATCGAAACGATCTCGCGTCCCGATACCTCGTCACACTCGCGTGTCTCTCGAATTCAACTGGCGTCGTGGTATTTAACAAATCACGGCTGTCGAGCGAGCATCCTCGGATGCGCCGCATCGAAGTAGACACTCCTAGCCGACCGCTGTACAGGCTGTTCCTTGTCATTTGTTGCGATTTATAGAGGCTCACGCGATCGTAATTTAGCGCGGCGCAGATCTTCTCGGAAATGGGGCAACCGATGATGCCTCCTTCGATCGATGAGGGCGAGCCCGCGGTATATCCGCGGCGGCAATCGGTACACGCGAAATGTATGTTGTATGAGCACCGCGCAGGACACACAAGGAGAGACACTGCGTGAGCGTGCCTCTCCACCTCGCTCTCTGTCGTCCGTCGTCCCTGATCCCGCGGAGGGCTTACGTTCCCGTAAAGCAATTAATAATTGATAACGTGTTATGAGTCGGCGTGGGAAACGTACTCCGAATAGTTCTAGACAGCAGCAGCAGCCGGGAATAATTCAAGTCTCGTACTGTCTCTAACTTGTTTGCCCTCCCTCTCTCTTTCTCTTTCGTCCTCTCCCCATCTCCCTCGACTCAACGAGCTTCCGACGCTTTTTTCCTTCGGATGCTCTGAGAAGCTATCGGTTGAACGAAGATCCGTAGATACACATTGTGATACACTAGAGGAAGCTCTGCTCGTCGGCATAATGTCGGGAGAGAAGGAGAGGAAGATGCAAGACAAATGCGCGTCGCGACGTATCTGAGGTGCAAGAAAAATAATGCATGAAGGCCGGATTGTATGTATCGATATCGAGTAGGTCACCTTTCCGCGCTCCACGTCGTTTCACACTGAGAAATCGTGCCTCCGTCAGCGTTTGACTGTTCATGCTTCGTTCATGCGACGCGTCGCGAGTAGGCTGAGGGAAAACTGGTTGATCCATCTAGAATTATAGTTATTTTTGGTTCCCATGTCTTTTAGCTATTATATTTTAAAATGGCAGTAATAATATGCATATAAGCCCATTATCACTTATATCACAATAAAATTTATTTGAAAAAAATGGTTTTCTTGGCCAAAATTTATAGTAATTATTTCTCTATGTGATTATAGTCACAAAAACCGAACATTTCTTTCTCAATGTAGCATTGAGTAGAGAGAATCTCTTGGAAATGCTCGCAGATGACGGAAGTAATAGTTTCATTATTCGAACGAGCGCGCGAGCCGTTTCCGTGGGGATCCGCTTCGTTGGCGCGACGAGATTTTTCAGCGGTTCCCCGAGCGAAAGTACACGGTGAGGCGGTGGCGGATAAAGCAAATGGAACGTCGCCGACCCTTTCAAGAACATTTGAGAGCGACGAAGTAGTTAATGCGGTCGCACTCGTCACTGTCTAGCGGAGCGATTTAATTAAGAGAACGTTAATTAATTAATACGAGGAGACAGACAAGCGTGGAGTTTGCTCAAGCCGGAGAGTCTGCTCGAGTATCGTCTGTCTGTCGGCGGGGACAAAAAGCGGAGAATGATATAGTCTGTGGGGGCCTTGCTCGCGCAAATTGCGGAACACTGTTATAATCCGACGTATGAACCGGTTAGAGAGAGAGGAGGAAGTTCGCAAAAATTAATATCCCGCGGCAAAAGATTGACGTGGAAATTGCGCGCACGTGCCCGCGCGCCGAAAAATCCTTTCTAATTTCTTACGTTACGACGTTATTGCGCATTTCCACGGTCTCCCACGCGCGTCTGAATCAACACTCGCGAACACTCGGGAGTTCACTTTATCTTAGGAATTGATGTCACGCTAAATTAAGCGAGATTAGCATTAATTTTTCAAGCGCTTCCACTTGCTCGATGTTCACGATAACACATACTGAGAAAAAAATTTTCGGTATTTCTAAATATAATCACACAGAGAAATAATTACAATTTTCTCGGCTTCGATTTGATTCTCGCTGAAATCCGTAAATTCGCCACACGCGTTATGCACTCACGGCAAAAATGCGAAGAAACACGGTTTCGCAAACAACGAGTAGTCGCGAGTCGCGTTGAAGTAACGTCGGTCGGAAATCTCCCCGCGGGCGGGAAAATCCATTTGGCGTCAACGGACACAGGGCTGAACTTCATCTGCAATTACGCGAATTAATTTTAGCAGTTTTAATCTCCCTTCATGAAGTTGCCCACGCTTAATCTCCGGCCAGCCCAGCCAGCCGGACGGACGGAACGCTCCGCAACGCGAGGGCCTTTTGCACTTTTTCTGTCTGCGGAAAAATAACACGACCGGAAGAGACTGCGGCCGGCCATGAATACGTGACCGCCGCCGCTGTTCGGCTTAGAAGGGTGCGGAAACGAAAGTCCAGGGGCGCGTGCAACGAATTTTCGAGCGGACATACAGTGGCGAGGCGTGTATTATAATATTGTTTTGCGTTACATCCGTTATTACCGAGAGATTGTCAACTAATTCAATATCTTAGATAAAGATTATTTTGGACGAGCCTAAAGAACATGTGCCACCGCGTCGCGCGCATGGATTTGCCATTTTTTTTATTCGTATTTCAATAATTGCTATGCTGAAGTATATACAAAATGGTAGAAGTCTCTACTTATACACGAATGTTCAGCCATCTGCATTCAGACATCTTGTATAATTAACCAGTTGTATAATTAACCAGTTAGCTGTGTTGCCCTCTTTTAAAAGTGTGTACCTAAATTGTTTTGCATGACGAGTATATTCGTCATAACGCTAAAAATTGCCATTTCTTCATGACGAGTATACTCGTCATACACAGTTAACTGGTTAATGGATATATAAAACAAATTTCGTCTTTTCATAATCTCTTTGTGATGCATTTGTTTCATTGGCGTTGGCAATATATATAGAATGCCTGGTGTAACGCGTACCAACACTCGTGTGCAAGTATACGGATAATTCTGTAGTAAAAATTACTGTAGGATTTTCAGGAAACAGGTCGACAACCTGCACACAGTAAATGATTTTATACTTTCGTTTGAAATATACTACTTATTTATTTGAGAAACTGAAACATACTATTAAAAAATTTTCCTATGTTCCTAATAAAATTTATTGTGTCTCGACAGACAGACAAACTTAAAGACTAATTTTATTGAGAGTCTATCGTTGCATTACAATACGCAAAATATTATGTGCAGTCAAAATTATTATAAAACATTTTAACCAAGAAATAATTCGATATTCTGCAGTAATTCATTATCTTTTCGTTTTGAATGTGCTATTTAGAAACGGAAATGTGTTACTATATAAATATTTGCTACGTTCCTTTGTAAGAAATAGAACTGGTAAATCTATTCCAATTACTAACAAGTAAACCTATCCAAAAAGTACACTACTATTTTTTTATAATATGGTACAAATGTAAAAGTACAAAAAATATTTAAGTCATATTTTTTCACTTTGGCCCATTTTTAGTTTCATGAACAGTTTATAGCTTTTTAATATTCTCATTCCCATCATTAACGAGTGCAACAAAAATGCATAAGAAATAAAGTTAATTACAAGATATAGTTAAATAATTTCAACAAAATCGGCATAGCTGAGACACAAATTATTCTCTAGATTTCTTTAGCCGAAATTCCAACCAAAATATTTTAAATCTGTGCTAAATTAGTAAAAAATGGTTCGAATATCGGCCAAACCGAGAAATTATTTGTATAAATAATTTTTTCAATTTACATGTTTTGTTTAAACATTTTATTATTTATACAAATAATTGTATATATTTGACTTCATATTCATAATCAGCAAATAAAAAATGTCTATATCTTATATTTAATTTCATTTTTTATGCATTTTTGTTGCATTTGTTAATGATAGGAATAAGAACATTAAGAAGCTATAAATTGCCCATAAAACAGGCCAAAATGAAAAAATATGTAACTTTTGAGTAGGTTTACTTGTACATGATAAACATCTAAGGCCAACGTGTCTAAAAATATTTTAGTTCCAAATATAAAAATAAATTTTCAGCGCACACTGAAAGAAGAAAAACTTAAAAAAATTAGTAAGAAAAAAAGAAGTAAGAAACATTTATTAGAATGAATATCACAATAACATATTTCCTTATATTAATATAAAAAATATTTTTTTAATAAAAAGAAATCTATATTTTCTTAAAACTTTAGCTTCCCTCTCACGAAAGCAATTGTTCTATTTAAACAAAAAAATTAGTAAATATATTATTAGTGCCCATCAAGTGAATATTTTTTATTCTTTAGATATTTTTCTCTCAGTGTAAGATCAGGAAGGTCGTTGGATTTTCTGTTGAGCGCGAACGTTGTTTCTCGATCGCGAGATAAAAGGTACACGCGTAAACGCAAGTAGTATTTGCAGTAGTAGTGGCGAGTAAATTTGAAAGAAATTTATACGAAAGAAAAGTATAATATCCTCTCCATATGTAGAAACAATAAAATTGAAAAGAATTTACATGAAAAAAAAACCATAATATTCTCTCCGTATAAAAACATAGTAAAACTGAAAAGAAAGTTGCATGTGAACAAAAATGTTCTACCATTTTGGAAAAAGATTATTCTCTATTTCGATAAATAACAATAATATTGATCTCATTACTGTTACAGTGAACAAAACGAAGAAAGAAATCTGAAGAACTGTAAATGAAAGAGATTGCGTGCTGCTCATATGATCGTGTTTGTCATGTTTGAATCGATCACGCCAGTCGACTCTTCCAAATGGACAATAAAACAAGATATGGACATGTGCGGGAAAGTGTGCTAAAGAGTGCTTTTATTTCACCTCGTTTCGTCGACTTCTGCGTGAGTTATAGCCATTTAAACCCGCTGCGTCGGTATCAGAATTTCGGTGCGCCAGAACAGTCGAGGCACTTGCTGTCGCCGCGACGCGCTATGCTTGCTTCGAGCTACGAGGTGAACGACCGCGCGGTGGGGGCACGTGGTGGGGGACGCGTGGTGGGGGGATGCGTGGTGGGGGGACGCGTGGCTAGAGCGAGTGCGTGGCCGACGCGTTTACGTTTTCATTCACGTGTCGCGTCCTGACCTACCCTACGGCGATAGCGCCGGCGGATCTATCGCGCGGATCGATCCAGGTCAATAACTGCGCTTGCAGATGTCCTGGCGACTTGAAATAAAGACTTTCGAATAGACTAATTAGACGAAAAAAATCGCACTTTCGATGGACGGAAAATCGATGTTCCGCGGAATAAGTATCGATACACAACGCGATCGTGAGAATATCGGAACAATGTGTAAACAAATATTACGTCATCCGGCATTGTAGTTACTAAAAGAAGTCGTCGCGCAATTATTTAACAGCCGAGGGACGACAATAATCAACATTCTCGATACGTCGCGGGCCTTGAAGGCGGCCAAACTTATTTTCGCGACTCGCACGCGTTCCCGAATGTTTCTGTTGTACTTAAAACCGGCATTTGACACGCATACCACGGACTACATGTATTGGTATATTATTTTTCATTCTCCTCGAGTGATATCAAAATATTTCATCGGTCTCTGAAATTAAAATTCTCGTCGGCATCGTATTATATATGTCTCGTCGGCATCGTGTGAAACGTGTATCTTCAATCGAATCGTCCTTGCGCAAGTGTCAGTATTAGTGTCAGTGCCATGATGGAGCAGCCAAGATACTGAGTTGAGTAGCCAAGACGGAAGGCGAAGGACGGAAGACGTAGGACATGCGGGCAGTACTACATCATATGTTTTCAGGTGTGCCAAATCATTTATTATATCGGTTTATAACAAACATTGTCGAGAATAAACACCTGAGTCGAAATTTAAGCCGGCATTCATAGTCCATTATTATTTGACAAATAATTATAGTTTTAGAAATCTCTGATTTGTACTTTCACCTATTACATTATTTCATATAAAAGACCTTTATTCAAACAGTCGAATAATGATCATTGAGTATAAATACAATAATTAATTATATTCTTTCCGATTGTTCTCAATCACAAAGATACTAAATAATTCACAATTATGAATGTCAGCTTTAGAATGTAATGTAAATTTTGTATTTACGTTTAATAATGCTCTCTAGGCCGCGAATGTGATCTTGTTTACACTTATTTACGTTTGTTTGCTTCACTTTAGTCTTGCTATTATACGAAATTTAGATTTAAATTTCTATTGAACATTATATTGGGCATTATTGGACACACATAACAGTTATATTTTCCTTTACAGCTTCTACGATCAGCTCTTTTAAGAGCTACATCTCATCTACTTCCAACATAAAAAAAGAAAAGAAAAAGAAACTAGGAAGAGATGAGAATAATATGTGTTGTTTTCTTTAACTATTATTCTTATCAATTTTTATTTGATTATTTAATATTTGCTTATCTTTTTCTTATATCTTAATAAACTATTAAATTGCATATTGCTAACTGATGTATCACGGAAATAGAGATTAAAAATGCAGCTGAAAAATATCAATATAATTAAATATTAAATAATTCTGAAATGAGTCTTACTGTAAGACTCAAAATGAAGACAACTGTAGAGAGTAGACATCACACAATGTATTATCACACAAGGTAAGAAAATATTTCGTATAATGTTACATCTTAAGATTCTCCATTAATTCTTCAAGTTTAAAGGAATTTGCAGGATTGATGTAGAACTAAAATTTCGACTCAGGAATACTCGTGTTGCATTGACAAGTAAACCTATCCAAAAGGTACACTCCGATTTCTTTCTAATTTGGCACAAATGTAGAAGTACAAAAAATATATTTCTTTCTTATGTATTTTTTATATATGTATTTCTTTCTTATATATTTTATTTCTTATATATTTTTGTTGCACTTGTTGATGATAGGAGCAAAGACATTAAAAAGCTATAAACTGTCCGTGAAGCTCAAAGTGGGCCAAAATGAAAAATATGACCTAAATATTTTTTGTACTTCTACATTTGTACTAAAAAAATCGAAGTGTAACTTTCGGGTAGGTTTACTTGTGAGAGGAAGAAAACGGTTGATTCAACAAAATCGACGGTCGCTCGCCTTCAAAGAAATATCGTATTTGTTGAACAAATTACGCGTTAGTGCGAAAACTAAGTTGCTTTAATATAGTTACTGACCAAGTCAAATCTCGTAATCAGCGAACCAATCGATAACTCATCACAGCAACTACATAACTGGTCCAATCGACTAAACGAAACCTTGATCGAACGAATTTCGTTCGTTCAAGCGAAGAGTCTCATTAATTCAACTACATTTTTTTTTTCATTCTCAGTGCAGTTAATAACTTTACAATATAACCGGTCGTCCATCAAATTTCCTCGCCGTTATACTTGATCACACACCTAGACTTCTCCACGAGGTTTTTTGCTTTGTCAGTAAGAATCTCGTTTCTTTATCGAAGAGTTGAACCCCCTCCATCCCGCGGTTTTTTCTCACCGTTATTAATTGCGATTTATCCATTTAGCCATTACAGGCTCTTGCTCGTCTCGAAACCGTTCCGTCACTTGATTTAAGCACGGGGTTCGCACGATTTCACAATGCTCGGAGCTTTTTGCCGACACGGCCGAGTCGGAAGAAGCGCCGCGGCAAGCCACGCCGAAATCCTTTTTGCGCCACTCTCGTGCCGTTATTAATTAACGCCGAGTCATTATTAAAAGACCTCCGTCATTTATACGGGAGGCTTTTTATCGTTCATTAAGAAGTATGTCCATCGCGCGCCGCGAAAAACCCGGCTTATCGCGCCCGCTCGCGTCTCGATCGGCGAGGAAGGCGCGACGCTCACGATCCTATCTTCTGCCGGCCTCCTTCTGCCGCCCCTCGTTTTCTTCGTTCTTTTCGTATCGTTATTATCGACACTCGTGTTCTCAAGCGTCCGTTTGAGCGGCAGAAGGATAACGATTGTATCACGCCCGAGCGCGTCCTCCCGTCCTTGCACCTTGCGCCCACGCGCGCACCTTTTGTCCTGCGATCGAGGTACGACGTTTCCGCGCAATAAAAGATCCAGCGACCTTCCTGATCTTTACACTGAAAGAAAGATGTTTCAAAAATTTTTTTTTAATTCACTCGATAGGCAATAATATATTTACAAAATTCTTTTGTTTAAAGAGAATAAACAGTTGCACACTCGTGAGAGAGAGAAAGAGAAGCTAAAGTTTTAAGAAAATGTAGAATGTAGAAATATGTTATTGTGGTACCTATCCTAATAAGTGTTCTCTTTTTCTTAACTTTTTCTTAATTGTTTTTTATTTCTTAAATTTTTTTTAAGCTTTTTCTTCTCTCAGTGTGCACTGAAAAAATTATTTTTGTATTTGGAACTAAAATATTTTTACACAAGATTTGGTTGGCATTAGATGCTTTTCACTTGTGTCAGGTACATGTATTATTGAGAAAGCAAAACACACATAACGCCGATTGAATTTTGTGATTGAAATTACCACAAACATTTGGTTGATCTCATTTTAACCAAATTAGGATACGGTGTATCGAATTTTGATTTCGATAGAAAAATCTCTTTTTCAGTGTACGTTTTTATTAATAGTCGGTTCGGATCTTCAGCACATAGCGATGTTGATAATTAAAATAGATTATATGACAGTTGTATATGATGATATACAACTGGTTGAGGAGCAACGTGAATAGGTGCGTTGGCGCATTGTGTGCACCGTCATACTCTCGTCGATATGGTACTGATAAAATTTTTCCAAGATACATCTTTCATTAAACAGGCACTTCATTCTCGTGTCATTCGTCAGACGTGAAATTGCACCGTCGGCTTAAGCCGTAGATTGAATTTTACTGTCCGAGCGAGATATCGAGAAAAGGTCTGAATGAGATATCAATGAACCTTAAAAATGTTTAATCTGTTATTGTTTTAATTATTGATACTATTTTGGTCTAGACAGTAATTAACATTGTCGCGTAGTCGACGATCCTCAGTAAAATTTTGACACTTATCCTCTATATTTGCTTGCCTCAGAGTTAAATTAATTACACCTACAAAAATATGATCTTATTTTTAACGGAACCCTCTAATATATATAGTCTCAAGAGAATTCTCTTAAAACCTAGAGGAAAATATTCTAAGCACAATACTCTGGAAAAAATGGAGGAATTTCATCCTTTATCTACAGTTTTGTTTTTAATAGAAATTTCTTCCAGTTAGACGGTAGTCTGTTTTGAATAAATGTATTCTTTTTTATTCGAAAGGAAAAAAGGTAGAAGAATATCCAGTAGATTTCTAATTAATACACTGAGAAGTTACTTTTGTACTTGGAACTAATATATTTGGTACATACGATTTTGTTGGTATTACATGCTTTTTACTTGCGTCAAGTGAGATATATTAGTGAGAAAGCATATAATAGCAATTAATTTTTTTATTGCGATTACGAAACATTTGATTGATCTCATTTTAGCCAAATTATGGTACAGTATACTAAATTTTTGTCTGGACGACAAAATCCTTTTCTCAGTATGTTTACTTCATTGGGAGAGGAATATTCTTTCGGTAAGAGTTTTCGCGCTTAGAATATGGGTTTGTAGGAAATAGTACCTTGCAACTGGAGTTCTTTTCTTAGATGTTAGGATATTTTCCTTTTGGTTTTAGAAGAATCTCTTCTTGAATCCATATATATGTATAAAAGAATATTTCGCTGAAAATGATACTTTTTTAATGTAACTATTCAGCAAATTATTAACATCGCCGAAATTTGAAACAACCGCTATCGTTAAAAGTCGGCTATACACGATCAATCGAGAAATAGTTAAAGACGCAGATGCGCAGAGATAATAACTGAACGTCGCGTTGAACGGAAAACTTTGACGAAGTTTCGTGCGGTTCAAACACGTCGATCATCCGAAAATACGCGTCCCTCGACAACCAAATAATTACGAGGAGAGCTTAGTCCGTGCGAAATAAGAGAAGAAGGTGCGCGCGAGGTAGGAAAGAAGAAGAAGAAGAAGAAGAAGAAGAAGAAGAAGAAGAAGAAGAAGAAGAGGGAGAGGGCTCCGGGTGATTACCATTGGTGCGAGCAGCTTGCGCGGAAAGGGAGGGAAGGCGCAATGATGCCGGGACACGAGAGAGAACTGGAATGATGAATTGCAAGGCGCGGCAATGAATCAGAGCCCAGCGACAGGCGGTGCACCTACCAACAATGCGGGGCCCCCGTTCTTAGGAGCCCACCAAGGCTGACAACGTGCACCACCTTTCCCTGCGCGCCCGCGCTAAACGCTCTCTAAACGCAATCGCGGATATTTCATTTTCGCGTCTCTCCTTTCTACAACGCGCCGTCTCGCTTCAAAAAATTCCTACCGAAATGAGAACGGCGCGTACGCGCGACTTTTAACTGCTCCCGGTAAGCGAGTTCCTTGGGTCGTTATTTATAACTTCTGATAAGCAAGTGCTCGTTCTTTTTTTTTATTTTTGTAATACTTGCACTTGAAAACACAAATCATTGTTCATAGCACAACGAGTGCGTGTTAAGATAAAATCTATCGAAAAGTATGCTATATGAAGGTAGACTTATAGAAGGAAGAAAGTTTACGACTCAAACCGATGGAAATTTCTTTCTGTTTCCTCGAAGGAATTCCCTCGTCGCGAAGTCGGAATATTTGCAGTATTCATATCGATAATGTTAAAAATTATTTACTCTCGATGAAATACCGGTACACAATCACAAAAGGTCTAACTGGATTGAAAATTGCACTGAAAACATTATTTTGGGAACTAAAATATTTTGTCGGT